AAAATGCCAATAAATAAATCCTTTTCTATCGACATAAATAATTATAGATTATCTTATTGTATGATTATTTATGAGACTTAAAATAAAATATAGTATATATTGAAGGTTAATAGAGAAAACAATTTATTTTAGTAAGAATTAAATCAGAAGTTCATACAATAATTTAAGAATCAAATTAAAAATTTTAACAGTTTATCTTATTGTATGATTATTTATGAGATTTAAAATAAAATATAGTATATATTGAAGGTTAATAGAGAAAACAATTTATTTTAATAAGAATTAAATCAAAAGTTCATACAATAATTTAAGAATCAAATTAAAAATTTTAATAATTTGAAAATCAAATCAATAACTCGAATAATAATTCAAAAACTAAATTAAAGATTTAACCAAAAAAAATCTATCCTAATGATAAGTGAGAAGTCCCATAAAAAATTATTGTATGTAACTTATGTACCTAGTGACAGGTGAGAGGCCCCACTAAAAGCTGTTGCATGCATGTTGTGTACTATTAGATAAGGATGGAACCGAAAAAAGACAGAATTGTTCAAGTTCAAAAAAAAAAAAAGAACAGAGTTGATAGAATAGAATGTGAAAGATGCCAATAAATAAATTTTTTTTTATTGATAAAAATAATTACAGGTTATTTTATTGTATGATTATTTATGAAACTTAAAATAAAATATAGTATATATTTGAAGGTTAGTAGTAAAAACAATCTCTCCTAGTAATTGGTGAGAGCCCATCAGAAATTGTTGCATGCAAGTTGTGTACCCTAATGACAGGTGAGAGGCCTCGTTAAAAGTTATCGCATGGAAGTTGTGTACCATTGGATGAGGAAAAAACAGAAAAGGAACAGACTTGATAGAATGTGAAAGACAGCAATAAATGAATCCTTTTCTATCCAGCAGAAATAATTGCAGCTTATATCCCATTATATGGCTATATATATATATATGAGGCCCAAAATAAAATACAGGATATTGATAGGAGACCTTTTTCTTTTTGCCAAACTATAACGACCTTGCTCTTGTTCGATTAAATGTTAATGTGGGGTGGTTAATAGATTACAGAATCTATGTATTTTAATATTAGTTGAAATTATTACCTCTAAATTTATCCCTTTTTTTATTTTTACACACAAATTTATGTATTTAGTTATTAGATTTTTTTTTATCAAATTAAAATTAATTAATTACATATGTTTAGTTATTAGATCTTGACTCCATCAAAATTTTAAAATTATAAACTACAAATTTAATTAAGTCATTGGTTTAAGTTTATTTTTAAAAGCATTAATTAGACCTATAATTAGTTCTACTTTCCATTAACCAAAAGAAAAAATAAGGGGTAAACTTAAATAAAATCTTCTTTTATGTTAGTAAGGTAAAATTATTGAGATCAAAGTTTTTTTTTTTTTCTTTTATCTCTAGTTAATTCTAGGTCACAACTCATCAAATAAAAACTTTTCTAATCGAATTTCTTTTTATTTATTACAATTTCTTTTGTACGTCATGGCCAAACTTGACCGATTTAGAGCATGCAAGGCTTATTCCGCTTCTTGGAGAGACTTGATGGCACGAAGAAAAATAGCGATCACCAAAGTGTTATGGCTACACAAAATCTGAAATGACTAAAAAACTGAGCTTGAATCTCTCTAAACTCAAATGAATAGTTTAGGAGCAGTAACAAAAACGTGGCTTTGTAGTTTTGTGTAAAAAGACAAAAAACCCAATACAAAAGGGCAATGTCAAGGGGCAATTTTAGACATCCATGGGACTACCTTTGATATTTTTTGGTTGATAATAGTTTCTGTGCATATCATTTTTTTTTTTCACTTAATGGGAGGTGTGAACTAGTAGTATTTATAAAGATATGTTTATTTAAATATCCTTTCATTTATTTTTAATAAATTTATTTTAACTTTTTGATTTTAAGATGTCAATTTTAAATAAAAATTTAATGATCTATGTAAATAATAATTAAAATTTTTTTTAATCAAATAAAAATATTTAACAAGAAGTATATATATGGATAAAAAAAATTTTAATTATTATACATATAAATTATTAAATTTTTATTCAAAATTTATATTTTAAAAATTAAACGTAAAACTAAAACTTAAACTATTAAAAATAAATAGAGTAATTTGATAGTATTTATTTTTAAGATTATGTTGAGAATATCTGAAATTATGAAGGTTGCATTTTGGGAACTTAAATTTGAATTTGATAAGTGTATTTAAAGTACATGTATTTTAAATATATGTATTTTAAGTATTTATTAAAATACATAATTTAGATAAATTAAATTAATATTAATTTAAAATTGAATTTATATTAGTTCTTCTTATTGAGACATTTTACAAACATTTAGTAAATAATCTTT